CCACGGCCGATCCGGCATGAAATTTTGTGGTTTTGTATGTATCATAATGTTGGATTGGGTAGCTGCTTTTTGTTTAACCGCCATCCAAGCGATCTGCCTGGCATGGTAGGACCTCAAGAGACATAAGTCTCAGCCAGTATAGCTTGATTAGGTCATTGCGATGTTCCAGCCCGACCACACGTCAAGGTAGCAGCCTTCTGTCGATTTTGAATACTTGTAACTGTACAGACTGTAACATAGTCTATGAAATACCATAAGACAAATTGGTTATGTGAACGTTAGAGCCTGCTTTCTTTCATTCCCACTTTAAGATGGCTAGGCAGCATAGGCCGCTTTCTGGTTGATCAGTCAGGAGAGTCATACTGATACTGCACTTCTATTTGCTAGTAAAATGAAAATACCATCGAACATGTTTTAGAAATACGGCTTTGCAGTTTCAATAGTAGTGATGTTGTTTGAACACAGTGAGGTTTATTAGCCTCATGTCATCACCTCACACTTCTTGATCTTACTACTAGCGGGGCAAGACTTGAAAGTGTTTTAGCAGGGAAATGATACCGTGACCTCATGGTTAGCATTCTCTTACTTACACATCGATGCATACATATTCATACTACACCTCCAAATTATATGGGCCAAATACCCCATTTACTTAAACTAGTGAATAATTGAAATTTTGATATTGTAAGGCGATAACTACCAGTGCTTATCTGACTAACATTCAGGATACTGATGCTGAAGGATAATGTAACTCGTTCGTCCCGTCGTCACATACACATAAATAAAGTGTTATTAAAAAAGAGTGATAGTAATCCTCAAATTCAAAATATTATTCCTCGTATCCTTGGAGTTCCTTGTGGAACTAAACATTAATTGCAAATAGCACCATATTTTATAGGAATGCTATTGAATATTATAGAAAAATATGCGGACTATATTGGTGAGTACATAATGCCACATCTACACTGTTGAGTTTTTTAGTGAATATTTAATATCTCTTAGAAGCATGGTACTTCATTTTTTCGTAATTTTCTTGTTTTTTGTCAAATTTTTATGGGTATTACTGAAATCAGTCATGTACAGGACAGTTACATAAATGCAAAACTATAAAAGGAATCGTCCCAGAATGTAGCTATCATTATTGCATTACAGTTGATCGAGGAGTATGCTCAATCTTTTTTTAAAATAAAATTTAACGGAACGATTCATACGTTCACTCAAGAATAATTGATGTCAAGAAACAGAATAGTACTTAACAAATGGAATCGAATAATCACAGGAATAATGAGTATACGAAATAGTTAAAATTGAGTATTTTCAGCGATCAAACATTCTGATGAAATGAAAACCGTGGTTTGAAACTAGCCAAAAATCTTGTCGAATTTCACTGAGAATCATTTTCGAAACAACAACTCCTAAATACTACTAAATGAGAAGGAATGACCAATAAAAACTATTTGTCTACACCTAACAGCTCCTAATCTGTTCTATTACTGGTAAGACAATACATCTGTGCTTTACATATATGCGGTCAGGTTATTTTCTCAGCCCATATTCGTTCACTTGAGATAATTCTGAGTCAAATAAAAAAACTCCTATTTACTTCAGTGTGTAGCCAAGCCTCTGGATTTAAACTCGAATTCAATTATAATAGTTTTTTGCCGAAAACTATTTGCATTGCTAATGTCTGTTGCCCGTATCTCACAGAAAAGATACTATATTAATAAAAAGTTGCTGTTCCGTCTGAAGAGGAGGAAGGTATATAGTCGATCATGGAGTCGTACATTCTCATACATCTTCCAAATGAGTAGAGTTTGCTTTTATCGGTTGCAATCTACTGATTAAATCGGAAACAATTTTATTAAGATAATTCAGCATACAGTGTTTTTTTCGGAAGCTTTTATCGATTTCATAGAATAAGAATGTATGAAGAATCCCGAAATCATGCGAAGAATTTTGTTATGGCCTCGATCATCTGGAATATCCCCTTCCTTATGATTTATAGGAAGATTGTATTTAGCTAATATTCCTCTGTATCACATAGAAAAATAACTAAAGTGATTATGTTACATTAAAACACAAGACTGTAGGATACGGATGCAATTTTATTAATTATTCATTAACTTGAGTTATTATTCCACAAAATACCTCATCAAATATTTGACATTTTAATAAATAAGTATTACTGATACCAACCTTGAAGTATTTGAAACTAATCCCAATGTTTGATCGGATGGCAAGTTAAGTTGTGCTTATCATCAAACATTCAGTAAAGAATTATATAATGAGCGAATCTGTGTCGTTTATCATGGCTGAAAGATTACCTAACTGTTTTGTAGCGCGTAAGACTATAGATTTCTCCGAAAGCTAAATGTAATCATACATGAAATGCCAATCAACTCACTATTTTATTCATAACTGAACGAATAAACGTTCATGATCATTTTTATTCAGAAATGAACGAAATATAACCATGCTGAGTCATAAGAAAAAAGAGCAAACAGCGAAGAAAATTTTCTTTTCAACGATTCATTTTCATGAAATGTACAATCGTAATTATATTAAACAAGACACCTTTAGACCAATCAAATACTGGTTAAATTTGTGCTGCAAAAATGTATTACATAATGTAAGGTGTAAGAAGGGATGATTAATTTTATGTTAGTAAAGAGACAGACGTAATTAGTGTGAGATAATGACTAATAAATAAGCTCGTGTAGAATAGACAGGAACTAGTGGAAAGGCGACAGAGTATTTTTATATAAAATCTGTATGAAAAAGCAATGTTACTAATAAACAGTAATAGAGTAGTCATAAAAATATGGATGGTGGGAATAATAATGATAATAAAATAATAATAACAATAATAATATTAGTGAACGTACACAATAAAAAGCAAAAAGCAAAATTATAGTAAGAACTTTACTCTGGCCACGATAGGGCCAGAGAATGTACGTATCGCTATTGAATGCGGCGGTCCGGTTTCAGATCTCGAATAGCTATTGCTTCAGCTATGTACATATGGCGTATGTGAAGCCTCTTTGTACAATTCAGAAATCTCGAAATAAAAGTTATATTTTGCTACAAAAAGTTTTGTAGAACAACACATCTAAGCGAACGATATTGTTTTCAATTAGATCTCATCAGGCTTAACTCTAATCTAATTGAAAACAGTATTGTCCGTTTGAATGGGCAGTTCTAAATTTTACCATGGGAATATTTAATATTTTGAAAACGGCTTTTGTCACAGTCTATGAGATAAATGACGTCCATGTTACTCACAACTCTAGAAACTTTGGCGAAATCAGGTAAGTTATTTTTAATTCAGTTAATTCCTTTCATGTGTGATTATTTTGTGGTCCGTCGAAACAAGTTATCTGGTCATAGTGGAATTTCTTGCAGCAGTATTTCAGTCATAAGATGTTGGCCAGCAGTCCGATAGATACAGGTTCCATTCTCTACTGATGTACTACTGAACTTTGTCTAGCCAGCAGGTCCAGAGGAGAGAAAGCTGGTAGTGGGGTTAATGAGTTCCACTCTGTTAAAGTGATAAAACTGCTATTCAACGCTTTAGGCCCTATGTTCCACTTCTAATGTGAAGAAAGAAAGAAATGAGACTTGTCATTTTTCTGAGGTGCGTTTCATATTCAGTTTTCAAAGTATCACCAATTTAAACAAATACACTACCGATTTGGACGGTAAACTTTTCTTCTGCCTGCCAAAGATATGTTCAGGTCATTCACTTAGCCTTTTTCCGAGAAGAGATACTCTGTTCAGTCGCGATAGTCTAGACTTGTATTCATTTTGCTACTTTGTATCGAAAAGATTGAAAATCTGCACTTTCTAATTTGATGAACCTACTTCAAAAGCGCTATTGAAAACTCTCATCACGGCTACAAAACACACAGCTGTTTAGAAACTAAAATTTGTTTTGAAATTTGGCTAGTGAAACACTCACTGAAAGCTGTTTCTCAAAATTATATTTTTTAAGCTATCACTCTCAACGATTACCAGTATTATGAATTGTCAGTGACCACTTGTTCTGACACTTTCTCAACTAACATAATCTCGTTATTTTAGTTGACATTTTCTTTCATTTAGTTCAAATGTGCTTCTAACATACTGAAAAAATTTGATGCTTATGAACAACGAACAATGCTACACTACATTTTTGAGATATTTATTGGTGATATCTACTTTTAATAAATTTACATTTTCCCCCATTATGTTTGGAAATAAGGCAAATCTTATGAAATATCATGACATCATTTCACATCTATAGCGTAATAATGACAACTTTCACAGGAAGATAAGAGTTTATTATTTTCCATTGATGCTGGCTAGTATTAAATTCCAAGATGTGGTTACGGTTGAATGAGATGTCGATGTGCTTCTATCTATGAGTGATTTTCAGCGGTTATTGCTTTAAATGAATATCACATCGATTTCCGCAATAATTGTACGCGACTAAGATTTTATTTTAACTGCACTCAATATTCCATTTGAAAGATTTATAACATCCATTAATATATTTTGTTTTAATTTAAGGTTCACAGTCCGTTTAAATACTGACATCAGGTAAATAAACATAAACATAGATGAAACAAACATTTCTATGTGTCCTGAATTCCGGTAAGATTGTGAACCTAGTTAGTGGGTTGGTATTTGCCTATGTGATGTGCCGATAATTCAGCGCTTAAATAAGAGAAAAATTAGTAACTGTAATGACAGGCTTCTCTAAGGTTTGTAAATGCAATTTAAGAAGTCCTTTACTTGCATTAGAAACACTTTAACACTGGTTTTTCCGTGTGCTTCAACAATCACACATAGAAAAGTTTTTGTTCGATAATTAAAGTGCTGAAGATGTCGTCAAGGCCAGAGATGAAATAACCCAATGAAGGTTTAGTGCTTAGATCACATTAAGCAGCTTCCGCAACTTTTTTACTATGATTCTACTATTGTTCATTTCGGTAGAACTTACTCCCTTTCTTCATTTTTAGATTTATCCATCAAATAAGCTGCTCAGGAGATAACCAATGTTTTAACAGTACTAACTTCATTTTTATATTTGCCTCATTTAAACAAATAAATAATTGTTTAACTATTGTAACATTGTTTTATAGTAAAATGCAGTTGAAGCCATCGAATGAATAGCCGTAAGATTTACGGGTTAAGGACGATATGTTAAAATTAGCAAGCCTCAAGATTACTCACTAGTTTAATCCATACAAGTTACCGTGCACATTTTTTAGACTGAGCCAAAGTGCTTACTTCTTATAAACAAGATAATTTCAACCTTCCGAAATCCAATGTGTTCAATGGTAACGAAAACTTAAAATAGAGAATAAAGTGGCCACCTTCAGCCTATTTGCAATGTGCGAAAATTTCAGTTTTTAGTAGTGGATTCAAATCTCTTTGCAAATATTTAGCATATCATAGTTTCCTCAAAGTACAAACATGTTAGTATAATATGGTAGAGTTTAGAGTTTACAAAGGTCTAGCTTCATTTATCACAGTAAAGATGTATGTTGCAAGGGAAATTTGAATTGAAGTAGATTTACTCTCAAATCGACAATTGCAAATTAGTGATTGTTTGAAAAACTCTTTACATTCAGAAACTAGCGCAGTCAGGTTTGATAACTGATGAACCTGATGAAGGCAATTATGAATTGGACACAATTGGATTTTAAACCTTTTCATTGCGGTTTGAGACAGTATCAGCTTTCAGTTCATCCTCCTCTCACGTTTTGCAAATCTCATTCAGCAGAGTGGCAGAGACATTTTTAAGTTCTGGTTCACAAATACGGCGTAAACATTTGGGGAAGAAACTGGAGACGTTTTAATCAATTTCGTGTAATTTATATAGATTCTATCAGATCGCTTTGTACTAACGCGTATTTTTACATCCAGATATATTAGCGACGAATTATCAGTCAAATGCAGACAAGTATCCTTCTCATGTCAGTTACAGATGCATTTATTAATTGAAGAGCTATTTCGAGAGGTAAGCAGTATATCATTTCACTTGTGTATCGAAGATGACGCCACTCCGTTTCAGTAAAATGGAATAATTCTTCATTAGCACAATCAAGTTTTATACTTGTAATTTTTATAAACTGATCACATAACCTCAGTGTAATTACCAGTCGCATTATTTGTGGAGTGGATACTTCAGCAAAGTAAATTATATCACTAATACATATTAGTAAAGATATATAGCTATACCTACAACTTATGAGAAAGGCTTTTTCTAGATAAATCTAAACTACTTGATACGCATATGTATACAATGGTATCGGTTCCTCTTTATTCATCCTCATTCATATTTGTTTGATAAAAGTTTTTTAGGTACCATTGGTTGGATTAACTATCTGTAAATAGTTTACACTTGCCTTCCTTCAAAATCATTATCTGCTAATGATGATGACCAAATTAACGAAAGTTGGTGGACGAATTACTTCTGAACGTACTGGTCTGGCTTCTTCAATGGCTTCAGCTGTATGTAGAAAACAAACTCACAAAGCGAAATTAATTTTGCTCAGGATGCGATAAACAACTTCAAATGCCTTATTAATATTGAACTTTACGCTCAAAACCTACAAGTAGCGCTGAAACAGAGATACGAAAAGATCTTGTTCATCCTCTGCTCAAGCGTGCAGGATATCCGGCAATACCACGTTGAACTTGTTTAACTGTATAACTAGCTCCGAAGGTGCAGTCAAACTGGTATTTACATAGAGAGAAGGCGAAATTCAGCAGTTTGTTTGTATTTTTCGAATGTACAACGGGACTGGTTGTGAAGATACAGTGTACATCTACTGCATTGAATGTTATGTTTCACCGATGTTATCACAGTGAAACTTCAGATTTATGAACATGGGTCCCATTGGAGCTGCTAGGATACTGATTCAACTTGGCGCTAAATTCACAATTTTATCGATGAACTCATATGGACAACCATTTATACTGAATAATTCCCTGACAGCCATACTCTGATCATTGAAACAAATCGTGGAAGTGAATTATCCTAGATCTATGAACCAGATAACTTTGCTAAACTGCATTTATATTTCAAGGGTGAAAAACTCAAAAAAAAATGTACTGACCTGTTGCTGAAGATTTCCAATGTACATACTCTCTTGAAGTTCCCTCCTCTTTCCTGTTCAAAAGGGCATTTAGGAATGAAATACATTCATTTCTATCCTTCTCTATGTCAAAGTTTATTACTGGATGTATATCTTTGTCCTTTTCAATGATGTTCGTTGCATCATTGTTGTTTCTTGTCACCAAAAATATGTCATCCAAATATAAGCAGTTGAAATCCAATTCATTGATAACTTCATACAGTTAGCCCCCTTAACCAATTCGAATAAGGTGATCAAAACACCTTTGGCAAGGTAATGTATTTATTACCAATTAAAGCATATTTACTGATGTATTCAGTCCAAATAATTTTTAAATATAAATCATAAGGAAAAATATGCAGACAACGGTTTTGAAGTATTCATTGTTTTAGGGAGATTCAAACTGAATTTGCAGTTCATACAAGCTTAAGTGGAAAGGTTAATGGTATAAAATCAGAAGCGATTACTCCAAATGGTCCCATGTGACCAACTAGCTTAATTAAAATTAATTAGCTTCACGCTCATTCTAAACCATGATTGTTTTCCTGCTAACTGTGGAAAGGCTGTTACATGACATTCATTCGGTGTTACCTAGAAATGAATGAATCAATGCTTTTCACCTCGTATAGCAGTGGTAATGGTAATATCAGAGTAAAAAATAGAAATGTACAGAATTAATTTCTTGTCAACACCGTTAACAGTGAAACTATGATTGATATTCCTTGCGGTTCCAAATGGAAGATAGGGATTCAACAAAACGTTTCCACTTAAGTGTTGGTTTGTAGGGATTTGATTGGTTTCAGAATTTCATCATGAGCTGATATTAGTTAGAGAATCATTGGAAAACCAACACTGGAGTACTGGACAACTGTTTCGTCCTAGTTTGGGACTCTTCAACAGTACGCACCCACCAGGATTCGATCCCAGGACCTTCCGGTTACAAGGCGACCTCGTATACCATTAAGCCACTGGGACCCGATCCAATGGTCCTTGAATTCTAACTTCTGCCAATTCCCGATATAGCGCGACCGCTAGCCAATGTCTTCGGCGAGTATTTGTCCTCATACCCGACCCGCTGCACCCTACTTGTCACGACTTCCCACTGGAACCCATGTAACTACCTACCTGAATAGACCAGTCACCAGCAGGGTGCAGCGGGTCGGGTATGAGGACAAATACTCGCCGAAGACATTGGCTAGCGGTCGCGCTATATCGTGAATTGGCAGAAGTTAGAATTCAAGGACCATTGGATCGGGTCCCAGTGGCTTAATGGTATACGAGGTCGCCTTGTAACCGGAAGGTCCTGGAATCGAATCCTGGTGGGTGCGTACTGTTGAAGAGTCCCAAACTAGGACGAAACAGCTGTCCAGTACTACCAGGTTTTCCAATGGTTCTCTAACTAATGTCAGCTCATAATGAAATCCTGAAAACGCCTCCATTTTCTACTATTTTCTGTGGTCCTTTTCAGCTGGGTCAAAGATTGCCCATAGTGCTTCATCTTCTCCTCAAAAGATCTCCTCCATGTCAACCTTGGATGACACGTCGCCTTCCATTCGACTGACTCTTCGATGTATGACCGATCCATCTCCGCTTTTTCCTACATTTTTGTTGAGCGATCGGCTCTTGGTTTGTTTCTCGTTGAACATCCTCTTCATTACACACTAAGTTTCTGACTGGTACAGAAAGACAGACTTGACATTGGTGTTAAAACTGCGAATATTGTCCCTCATGCTGAGTGTAGAAAACTTCTAAACTGTCCTCAGGTTGATGAAGGCGTATCTCGCCTTTCCGATCGTGGCCGGCTTTGATATCTTCATCCGTTCCGCCTATAGTTGAAATGATGCTTTCGAAATAAGTGAAGGAAGTAACCTCTGCCAGACCTTCTACAATGATGGTGACTGGTGCTCGTTGTTAACGCTATTGCTGTAGTTTGATTATCTTCATCACCCCCGTCTCATCTACGTTTCCCTGTAGTCCTGTTTTCGCTGACTGCGAAGTAGCAGTCAGCATGTTAGTTTTTGTCTGTAAGTCTTCGAGTTTGTGTGATATTAGACATATCATCCGCAAAATCCAGATCTTTCAGGGTCTTCTCATCGGTGGTCCAGCGGATTCCCGTCTTCTTCTCATAGTCTGACGCATGTTACGGTGCACCAGATTTAAGAATATCATCGGTGATAACTGTCAACCAGCCTTAAACCTCGTACCTCTTCTCCGTTGTCAACAAGTTATTTTACTATCATAAAATGAACTGGATATTTGGTTAATGTACGTTTGAATTCCTTGAAATTTTAGCCTATACAGCTTACAATCTAGGTCGCATGCAACTGATGGAAATCCGATTAAATAAAATGAATTCGTACTATCCTTGAAAAGGCGTTTTTTTAATATTCAGAAATGTCTCCCGAAGTCGTCTGTCAAACTTCACGCAGAAAATACAACTAGGATAGGTCTTAGTGGTAAACCTGTTGCCACGGTGTCTATCTGTGTATAGAACTGCTTGTTGAACAAGAAATGAAAATACTTTGTACACCTTAAAATAAGTTTCTTCAAAGAGGATACAGAAATACTAATGTTGCTGTTTTGTTTGATGTGTTTATCACATATAAAATCCAACATTTTACTCTTTGATACATTGATGAAAGAAAGAGAATGCATCAAACGTAAGCATGAACTTGTAATGCATTTTGGGACTGAAAAGAGTGTAATTAAGAGTAACTGCATTCATAGGAGGAAGTTTTAGTTAGAAAAGAAAACTTTTTAATTCATGAATAATTTCCATTCCAAGTCTTCAAAAAGATGACGAAGACTAGATGCCGAAGTCAAATATGTTCCACTTATCACAAGAACATACCGAATTAAATAAATTGCCTACTATAAAAAATACGTATTGATATTACAGCTCGTTTTTATGGAACACGCACACAATCAACAAAACAAAAGCTATGTGAAAATGGGAAATCACAAATACGTCGGTTAACTCCCTCGGAAGAAATTGTCAAAGCAAGAAGCACATCAAGGAGACCATTTTCT